GATTACGGTTTTAGCCAGCTTTTGCTCTACAAGAATCATTTTTTAAAATAAACAGCCTTTGGGAACCGCATAGGGGAAAACATCTCAAGAGTGCATTTTATTATTAATTTGCTATGAAAAAGGAAAGGGTCTCTTGACAACTTCCAGCCTTAATTGGCTTTCAGTTTACAAATATTTATCAAGTGAAATGCCTTATCCCTGTGCAGAGCAACACCTAACATGAAGGATGCAGATACAGAAGTCACCTGACCATGAGTATGTGCTGCATGCTGTCAGCTCTTACCTGAGGTTTAGAGATTACGGGAAATCAATGCAGAATAACTCTCCAGGCTGCATTCAGTTGATATAGCTGGGTCTTGAATAATAATAAAAAAAAAAAAATCTAAGACTGCAGTAGCTTTCAGCTGCCCTATTTAAAATGTAAATGACTGCCGCAGCTGATAAAATCCTCCCTTGAGAGCTCAAGAGCTCTGCCTAACTTAGAGCATCGAATCCCACACTGCATCCGCCACACAAAGGGTGTGTCATAGGCTCATAGAATGTCAGAGTCAGGAGGCCCCTCTGGATAACCTACTTGTGTGGTTTTGCACCTGCTCCAGCCCAGTCCCTTGCGTGGGCCACAGTGTGGGGAGGGTACAAGCAAGAAGAGGCGGGCAAGGCTCTGAGGGGTCCCCCACCCTGGGCCCCTGCCTCTTGTTGCAACACGCTTTGACCAGTTTTATTGTGTTTATGCTTCTATCTGAGAGTTTGTGTGAAGGAAGAGTTCTGAGGTTTAAAAATACTTTGGAAGAAATAGTTGCATCCAAATTAGCTCCCTCGTTTTCCAGGTGAAGACGCAGCAGCCCAGAGAAGGTAAGGCATCAACTCTGAGTGGTGTGTGCTGCTGTCAGGTGGGAGAGTACCTCTGTGGGGCTGTGTCCTTCCGTGTCTGCCTCACTGACCTGGTGTGAGAATCAAATGGGACAGACAGGAAAGCACAATGTATTAGCATAAGAGAGCACACATTGTAACGCAACAGTTAAATGTTAATGTTATTATCATGTTCTCTCTTCCACCACTAGGGCAATCATGTAGGTTGTCACATTTGTTCCAGGAAACCCTGGGGATCATCTCAGGGCCTGAGAGACCTGCCTTTTTCACTCAAAGCACCTTCCCTCTGATATGCTTTCTATGCTAGGCTTCTAGGTAACATTTCTTTTGAAGATGGGGCTCCTAAGTAGCTGTGTTTGCTTGAAATGTGGGCAGCCATCTGTGCCTATCGAAACGAGCAGGCACAGGATGTTTTGGGCAACGATTGGCTGAATACCTGGTTCAAGATGATCGCCACATCACGTAAGCACTAGGAATAGATTGGCTTGAACCAGAGAGACTGAATTCACCATGGAGAGCTTAAGCTGCACTGAGACTTGGGGTGTCTTTTAAATTGGGGTGTCCCCAAGGCCTTTTATTTCTTGGCTCTGTTTGTGACTGATGCTATGATTCAGTGTCAGTACCGAGATGGACACTAAGTGGCACCCGACAGGTGACGGCGCTTTTTTCCTATCTTTGTTTTTTAGTGCACTTACATTTCCATCGACCAGGTCCCAAGGACGCATGCCATAGTGATAAGCAGACCCGCCTGGCTCTGGGGGGCAGAAATGGGAGCCAATGAACATGGAGTGTGCATAGCCAACGAAGCCGTCAGCACCAGGGAGCCAGCTGCTGAGACAGAAGCCCTGCTGGGGATGGATCTGGTCAGGTACTGCACGGTGATTCTTTGAAACAACTGCCCAGAAAATGTTGGAAATGGAGACAGGATTTATTTTCCCCAGACCTCATATTTTATAATGTAATTCTCCCAAAGATGATGTGTGCCTTTTGATATAAACTTTGAGATAATACAAAAAAGGAATAGATCATAATGGGGTATTATTCAGCAATAAAAAGAAGTCAAGTACAGATACATGCTATAACATGGTGATCTTGAAAACGTCACACTGAGTGAGAGAAGCCAGACACAAAATGTCACCTATTGCATGATTCTGTTCATGTGAAATACACAGAACAGGCAAATCCATAGAGGCAGTAAGTAGATTAGTAGTTGCCTGGGGTTGGGGTGAGGGTGAAGGAATGGGGAGTGATTCCTCACGGGTGCGAGTTTTCTTTTTGGGATTGTGGAGATGGTCATATAACTCCGTGAATAAACTAAACACCGAGAAAAAATATTTATTAATATATATTTTTAGCAAAAACTGTATGTTACAAGGTTAAGGGCTTCTTAGTGATTTTTTTCAAGCTACTCTCTGCCTTTGGGGTGTTAGGGAAGAAAAAACTCAGTAACCGAGTGTCTGGATATAAATGGCTTTCCATGGAAATACTTCACCCACTGCTGGGAAGCACATTGTCACCGTCCACTTTTTTCTGTCACAGAGGACAGAAAGAAAAGAACACCTAAGCCAAAAGGGGTTGCAGCTTGGGCAATGGTGTAACTACAGAGAGGAAACCACACATGGCTGTAAAGACCAAATTCAGGATATGTCTGTGTCCTTTCCAGGAAAGTAACTCCCACCCCCAAAGGAGAGAAATCTGTGGTCATATCAAATTCAGTAACCAGTAGTGTCCAAATCCTTCCACTCCTTCTAGTAGCTTTTTCATGAGGGTTTCCCCAACATCTTCATGACCACCTTCGTTACATCACAACCACATATGATGTGCAGCGATTGCTTACTTTTAGCGTTTAAACACCAGTTATTTTGCATGTCTTTCTGGGGTTTTTCCCAGGTTGGCCATATTTCCCTAATAAATGTATAGGTCTTCTGAAGGCAAACATTATGCAATATGCTCCTTCAATATCCCTTCTAGGACATGCCATGTGCCAGGTAAACAGTAAGCACGTGATAATTATCAAACCAGAATATAAATGATGTGCACCTATGTACTGAGCTTCCTTTCAAAGAAAGCAAGAAAGTGGAGCAGCATAGTGCAGTCTGCTCCTGCCCTTTAACCTGTGAGCCCCT